GGAGGGGAGCCGGGACTCTGTGTGGCCCAGGCACATCCTGGGGGGCTTCTGGAAAACCCTCTGCTCTGCGGACCTGCTGCCGGGCTGAAGAGGCTTCCTAGGGGCCATGTGAATCCGGTTTCGCTCGATACAGGCGGGAAAATGACCCCTCAAAATCCTCTTAAAGGCAGACCAGTGACCTGGAACGGTCAGGGGACCCGAGGAGGGAAGGGGGCCACAGGCTGAGGCCACCTTTGCACGAGAAGGCCGCTTGAGACCAAAAAAAAAAAACCAAAAAAAAAACAGGTGTGGGGCGGAGCCAGGCAGCTAGGTATCCTCCCCGATTCTTGAGCCCTGCCCAGGCAGTGCTGCCGCAGGGCCTTTGCACAGGCTGCGTCCCCCATCGGGGAGGCTCCTCTGTCTCTCACGTCTCTGCCCCTCATCAGAAGGGCCTTTTCTCAACACATGTTTGCTGCTTGTTTCCGTCTGGAATATAAGTCCCCTGAGGGCAGGGAGCCTGGGCACCTGGGACAGAGCCCGGCAAGTAGCAGGAACCCAACGAATGCTACGAGTTTTTGTTTGCTTGAGTCAGAGTCTCACTCTGTGGCCCAGGCTGCAGTGCAGTGGCACAGTCTTGGCTCACGCCAGCATCCACCTCCCGAGGGGATCCTTCTGCCTCGGCCTCCCGAGTAGCTGAGACTACAGGTGCGCACCACCACGCCTGGCTAACTTTTTGATTTTTTAGGTAGAGACGAGGTCTCGCTACGCTGCCCAGGCTGGTCTTGAATTCCTGGGCTCAAGCGATCCTCCTGCCCTGGCCTCCCAGAGTGCTGGGTTGGCAGGTGTGAGCCACCATGCCCGGCCTCTTGCTGCTGGTGTAATAAATGAATCTGGAAGGGAGTCGAGTTCTCAGACGAGGTGCCCGCGGGGGGCGGGGTGGGGGGAGAAAGAGGCCCCGATCTCTCTGTGTCCGGGTGCAGGGAGCCAGCCCTGCCAGGAAACCGGCGGGCACACAGAGGACCCCTGCCCCAGGGATGACCTGGAGCAGGGCGTCAGCTCAGGCCATGCGGCCCCCGGAGGCTGGACTCCGAATTCGTCATCCACGCACACGTTTCCACCGGAAGGGCCGTGACGGACACCCAGTGGGGACACTGAGGCCCGACCCCAGCCCTAGGACTGGAGTCAAGCTGCCTCCCCACCTCTCATGACTGTTCTAAGACCTGGTCCCCAGAGCAGTGACCTGAAGAAACGCCACCCAGACCCAGGCTCCCGACGTCACCTCCCTCCCCTCCCGACCACGTCGGGACCAGGCCCGGAGGGTCTCACGCGCGCCGAGGTGGGCCGGGTGGGTGGGGACAATTTTCCTGGGTTCCTCTTTTTTTTCTGAGTCGGGGTCTCACTCTGTTGCCCAGGCTGGAGTGCGGGGGCACCATCACGGCTCACTGCAGCCTCGACCCCTGGGCTCAGGCAATCCTCCCTCCTCAGCCTCCCGGGTAGCTGGGCCTACAGGCACACGCCGCCGGGCCTGGCTCATCCTTTTGGTTTCGTTTTAACTTTGGTAGGGACGAGGGCTTGTCATGTGGCCCAGGATGGTCTCGAACTCCTGGGCTCAAGCGATCCTGCCACCTCAGCCTCCCAAAGTGCTGGAATTCGGGGTGAGTCACCGCACCTGGCCTGGGCTTCTCTTGAGCCCTGGAAGGGACCTCCTCCCCACCCCACTGACTCCCGTTGACTCAGGGCACGCGCTCAGCGATCCCAGGCCTGGAAGGCTGTCCCCGTGACCGGCCTAGGGGCTAGGAGGACAGGGCAGCCCACCCGAGCCTTGGGCGTCCATCTCTTTGGGTCCCGGGTGGTCCCCGGGAATTCAACGGCAGTCCTGTCCCCCCTCTGCCCCCGGTTGCTCCCACGGCACGCCTGGCACCACCGGAAGCCCCTCAAGCAAGAGGACCCCTCCTGCACACAGACCCCAGTCACACTCTGGCCGGGAGCCCTCCCCTGGCCACTTCGAGCGATCGCTGCCCCGAGGGCACGGCTCCCAGCAGGGCGCACCGTAGCCCTGCACAGAGGGGACAGAGGCAGAAAGGGGCACCCCTCCCCCCTGCAACGTCCGGCTTCCGCAAACGCAGCCCATCCCGTTGGCAGGGTCAGGAAGATTCTGGAAGCTTAAGGCGCTCTGGAAAGCGGCACCCGGTAGTTCTGTGGCAGCCTCAGGAATCAAGCCGCGTCTATACGGGGATGCCTGGCTGGGGCATTGCTTCTGGCCAGCCTTGGTGGGGGGCTCCGGGGGCCCCCGGGTGGGGGGGCAGCGTCCACCCGGCCGGCGTGTCTGACCGCCTCCAGCTAGGGGCTGCGCCTCTCGGGATCCCCTGGCTGGGACCCTGGCGGCCTCCCGCTGGAACGTGGAAGCCCTGGGTGGCCCCTGGCCTCCCGCAGGGAGTCTGTCCACGCGCTCACGAGTGTCTCACGCTTACATGAAGGCCGCCTGTGTGTTAAAGGCGCCATGAAACCGCCCCGCGCCCCGGCACGGCTCCCCCTTCGGCGCTCTAGCCACCCCCCTCGGCCGTCTGAAACGTCCACACAGGCTTAAATCAAAACCCTTTTCAAATTGGCCCCGGCGGCTGCCGGCCTCCCACGCGCCGAGGTTCCCACTCGGAGGTCGGCGCTGATGTCAGGCCCCAAACACGGGCTTACCCATGCTGTACTTGGCCTTGGTACACGTCGTCCTCTTCAGAATCTCATAGACCTGTCGGGGAGAGACAGAGGGAGGGGTGAGCAGAGGGTCCTGCTGTGACGGGAATGGGACGGGCCACATGGACCACGGAGACCTCCTCTCCTTCAAGGAAAGACACACACTTCCCCGAGGGACGGCGGAGGGACACAGGCCTCACAGCATGCCCAGGCTCTGGGGGTCTCCGGGAGAAACAAGCACGGCCTGCAGGGGTCCCGTTGGGGTCTTGGGGTCTCACTGTGTTGCCCAGGCTGGAGCACAGTGGCACGCTCCCGGCTCACCCCAGCCTCGACCTCCTGGGTGCAGGCGATCCTCCCTCCTCAGCCTCCCGAGTAGCTGGGACTACAGGTGCGTACCAATTTTTTTTTTTTAGTC